ATGAGTGAAGTAACCCCGAAACCACAACATGTCGTGGCATGACATGCATGATCTAAACCCCTAAAGCAGAAAGTAACATGGGGTGGCATGTATGATCCCTTAAACCCCTAAACCAGAACATGTCGTGGCATGACATGCATGATGTGACCCCTAAACCACAACATGTCGTGGTATGGCATGTATGATGCAACCCCTAAACCCCTAAACCAGAACATGACATGACATGGCATGACATGCATGATGTGACCCCTAAACCACAAAATGTCATGCTATGGCATGTATGCTGTGACCCCTAGACCCCTGAAGCAGAATATGCCATGGAATGGCATGTATGATGTGACCCTTGAACCCCTAAACCCCTGAACCAGAACATGATGTGGCATGCCATGCCTGATGTGACATGCATGATGCACTAGCCCGAAACCCTTAAACCTGACCTCTAAACCCGACAATCTCAACAGCCCTAGATCTCGCAACTGTTACTACGAAGCTACAGAACACAACTGGTTGCAATCTGTGTTTAGCTACACAAGCCTGTATTGAAGTCATCTGAAATGATGGTTTTGCCACAAGTTACAGAACGCAACTGGTTGCAATCTGTGTTTTGCCACAGAAACCTCTATTCAAGTCATCTGAATTGATGTTTTTGCCACAAGTTACAGAACGCAACTGGTTGCAATCTGTATTTTGCCACAGAAACCTGTATTCAAGTCATCTGATTTGATGGTTTTGCCACAAGTTACAGAACGCAACTGGTTGCAATCTGGTTTTTGCCACAGAAACCTGTATTCAAGTCATCTGAATTGATGTTTTTGCCACAAGTTACAGAACGCAACTGGTTGCAATCTGTTTTTTGCCACAGAAACCTGTATTCAAGTCATCTGAATTGATGGTTTTGCCACATGTTACAGAACGCAACTGGTTGCAATCTGTTTTTTGCCACAGAAACCTGTATTCAAGTCATCTGAATTGATGTTTTTGCCACAAGTTACAGAACGCAACTGGTTGCAATCTGTATTTTGCCACAGAAACCTGTATTCAAGTCATCTGATTTGCCACAAGTTACAGAACGCAACTGGTTGCAACCTGTTTTTTTGCAGCAGAAACCTGCAACTAAGAATCATCTCAATTCATGGTTGTGTGAGAAAAATACAGAACCCACCCGGTTGCAAGCGAATGCCATGCCTCGTCGTCGGGCGCAAGCAGTGTTGTGCCACCGCAGGTGTAGGGTTTGGGGGTTTAGGGTGTAAAGGTTAGGGCTCTTAAAGGCCTGCAACGACAGGGTTAGAGGCGCTATAGGGTTTAAGGTCAAGGGGTTCAGGGCCTCAGGTTCAGGGTTTATGTGGTTCGGGGTTTCGGGCATAAGGTCCAGGGGTTCAGGGTTACCAGGGCTGAGGTGAAGGTCGATGGCATGTGCAAATTGGGGGCTTGGCAACTATTGCTATGGAGGAGTTTAGCCTTACAATTCAGGATGAGGCATCATGTTCAGAGCTCAGGGGAGTAGGGCTTCGGGGGTTTGGGTTTAGGGTTCAGGGTTAAAGAATTTGGGCATTTCGGGTCTTGCTTCGGGCTTCTGGGCAAGCACTCTAAACCCCAACCCCAAAACCCGAGCCGACCCCCACCAAGGCACCCTGAACAACTCAAGACCTGCATAAAGCCCCACTACCTGCCTAAGCCAAGAGGGGGCTTGTTCAACCCCCACCAAGGCACCCTGAACAACTCAACACCTGCAAAAAACCACACTACCTGCCTAAGCCAAGAGGGGGCTTGTTCAACCCCCACCAAGGCACCCTGAAAAACTCCAGCACCTGCCTAAAAACCCCACTACTTGCCTAAGCCAAGAGGGGGCTTGTTCAACCCCCACCAAGGCACCCTGAATAACCCTATCACCCCACTAAGCCAAGAGGGGTCTTGTTCAACCCCCACCGAGGCACCCTGAATGACCCCGAAGACTAATATCCCTGCACCCAAAACCATCTAAGCCCTAGCAACCAAAGAGTTTAAGACTTGGGATTTAGGGAGTCGGCTTAGGGGTTAAGAGTTTAGGGTCGTGTTCATAGCTGCTGCAAAACTGTTCCATGAGTGTGATGTGTGGTGTTAAAAAACGGTTTCCCATGTGATTTGCTGACAACAAGTTTGATTTGGCAAAACGACAGTTGAGCACATCAGAGGAAAACATGCAAAACATTTAAAATATGCACAAATATTTCGGTGTATGTGTGTGCCCAAAGCATGAAAACATGTGTGTTGGCTCCACAAAACTCAGCTTCAAAGCATGACATAATTGGTGTTTTTTGTGTTTTTTTTGCTTTCTTTCCACGGCAGGACTCGGAGGGTGAAACACCCAATCGGAAATGAAAACCCCAAATGACACGATAGTGGCTTAAGCCTCAGTGACTGCCTTCATCCGTTGTGCATTCGGAATTTGGCGGCTGGGGGTTAAAATGTTTGCCTTGGTCTGGAGTTTTTATTTTGACGATTTTCTATCGGCTTGCAAGCCTGAGGAGCGTCGACATGTGGAGGTCGTCATCAGCACGCTTTTCAGGATTCTAGGTTGGGATCTTTCGCTAGATAAACTTCTGCCCTATGACGTGTGCTGCAAAGTCCTTGGAATCAAGATCGACGTGGCGGAAGCTCGCCTGGGACTCTTCAAGTTGGCGAACACCGAAAAACGTGTGCTGGAGTTAACCGCTGCCTTGGACGAGGTCTTGTTAGCTGACAGGTTGTCGCATTCCGACTGTGAGAGACTTCGAGGTAGGCTGCAGTTTGCTTCCGGCCAGTTGTTCGGTCGAAGGGCGAAGGTTGCTCTGCACCAGCTTAGCCGGCATCATGGAGGTCGGTTGAGCGAGGCCACTTCTGAGGCGTGTCGCTTCTTGAGGCGTTTGGTTTCGTCAAACCAGAGCCGCTTGATTAGTCGACAACTTGGAAATGTCGTGCATGTGTATGTGGATGCATCCTTCAGCGATGAGGGCAAGCTTTGTGGCATCGGGGGCATGGCTTATGACCATAAAGGCTCCTTGCTCCAATGGTTCGGTGAAAACCTTGATGCTTCGCTTGTTTCCCAAGTCATGACGTCCTTTGAGCGTGTCAAAGAGACCGTCATCTTTGAGCTGGAGGCTTTGGCGGTATATGTTGCGCTGAAGTGTTTCTTCAAAGCTCTTAAGCGCAAGAATGTGGTTGTGTTCACCGACAACGAAGGTGTTCACGGCGCCTTCGTGAAGTGCTGGACTGTGAGTCAGTTTGCAACGCATGTCATCGATGCGGTATGTGAGATTGAAGAAAGCCTTGGCTTTATGATTTGGTACGATCGAGTTCCATCTGCAAGTAATCCTTCGGATCCGCTTTCAAGAGGAGTGTGGAATCTGCCGACACCCGTGCGTGTTAGGCCTGCGGCGAAGTTCTTTGAGAACCTTCTTGAAAAGTCGAAGTCACGACTGAAGTGATTTGCACAAGTGGTGCGGCGGCAAGTAGTTTGGGCGCTCTTAGTGCCAAGGACTGGGGCAGGGCAAGGCACTGCGATGCCCCAATCACGAGAAAAGGATGAGCCGCTGCGTGAGCCGAATTTTTATTAGTTGTGAAGTATATATTCGGATGAAGAATGACATATCCCGATTTTTTATATGTATATTCTTTTGTATATATGGAATGTGGAACGCCCGGTTGACACATAAAGGGAAAATAAGACGCAACTCCGCGAACAGCGGATGAAGCTTTATTTTCCCCTGTGTCAAAAATTTTGGTTTGTCAAACAAACTCAAAATTTAGGGCGTGAGTTTTTGTCAAAGTTTTCTCAACCCATGACATGACAGTTCATGTTTGAGGAATCTCAATGAGTCTTTGCTATGCCGTCAGTTGGCTCCACAGGGTGGTGGGAGGGTAAGAAAAAATTTCCGGCATAAGTCCGGAAAAAAGTTTTGTCCCACCCAGCCCGCCCTGGTTGTTTCCTGCACAAGTTGTGCTGCGAAGTTCGCGATGATGCAAGTGGCATCCTTCTTTTAACAATACCTCTTGTACAAATGGAACTTGGCGATGTTGTTGAACTGAACAAAGAGCAAGCGCCCTGGGCCCGCGCCCAGGGCAAGGCACTGCGATGCCCCAATCACGAGAAAAGGGTGAGCCGCTGCGTGAGCCGAATTTTTATTAGTTGTGAAGTATATATTCGGATGAAGAATGACATATCCCGATTTTTTATATGTATATTCTTTTGTATATATGGCATGTGGAACGCCCGGTTGACACATAAAGGGAAAATAAATGCTGAGGATTCAAAGGTGTGGGTTTCAGGGATCGCCCAGTATGTTCAGAAGGCTTCTGGCCCTAGCAGGTTTTGGGTTCCAGTTTAATTTTATGTGGGGGCATCATTACATCATCATATCACAGTAACATGTGAATGTTACTGTGATATAATGATGTAATGGTGTAACAAGCATGTATAGTGTGATGTACATGAACTTATCGTCATCTATAAGTATAATATATCGATCGTCATTTGAGGATAGCAATATATAGTATATACTCATATATAAAATATATATATATATATATATATATATATATTAATATACATATATATATATGTACTAAAACCTTAAAAAGGATTAGTATCATAGTCTTATATATATATATATATATGTATATATATATATATATATATATGTATATATATATATATATATATAATGGACGTATATATATATATACATATATAGATAAACACCCTTACCTCGTAGAACCTCTATACTTTGGATCTGTGTTAACCCTGACAGAAACCCAAATCCTCTAACCCTGAAGCTTGAAACCCTGAAGCAAAACCCTCAGGTGTCTTGCTGCATGTGCTGCAGATACTATGTGTCCGGGCCACAGGTGCAACAGTGATATGCTGCATCGTTTTGTCACAGCATGATAAACAAATGCATCAAAACTCACTTTCGATTTTGTGGCTCCAGATCAAAAATAGTTTAAATCACTGGAGCCTTTTGTACAGTTGCCCTTTTGGCATCATGGCCCCAAAGAATAAGGCCAAGGCTGCTCCGAAGACGGAGCCGAAAGCTAAGAGGGCCAAGTCCGGTGCCTTGGTGATTGGAGATGACCCCACACCGGTGGAGATGAAAGCCAGCATTCAGAGGATGCTGAATCTTGTGAAGTACAAAGCCGACCCCGTGAGAAACAAGAGTGGGGAGTGCCAGAGCGAAGCCCAGCAAGTGCTGGAGGCCGGGTTGCAATTCTCCATTTGCTATGCATTACATTTTTTTTGTGGGTATTGCATGTACCAGGCCTACCGGCAGATCGCCGACTCGACTTGAAGTGGGTGGGCCAGTACACCAAGAAGGTTGTGAAGGAGGAAGCCGAGGAGGATGTCTCTATCAAGGGCATGATGACAGCGACTCTTAGATTTTATTTTACATAGGTTGCTTGGTCATTTTGTTTTTAATGTTTTGTTTTGCAATGCCGCTGAGGTCGCGAATTTTTGACCTGAATGGCCTCAAGATCAGCGACGTCCCAGAGAAGAGGCAGAAGGAGTTGCTGGAGGGTTTGCTCCAGGAATCCGAGGATTTCTGGGGGCACGAGAGGAACCTGGTGAAGCACAAGATGCCCGAGCTCTGCCGGTACTTTTACCGGACCTTGGTGGAAAGCAAAGATGCAACCCGATCGACCGAGTCAGGCACCTTCGAAATGAGTGCTAGCCTAGCAGCGAAGGAGATGAAAAGCCTGCAGAACACCAAGGGTGAGGTGAAGTTGGAGCACCCCGAGCGGACCGAGCTGAGCAACTTGAGCAAAGTGGCCAACAGTGCAGTCAAGAGCCTGGATGCCAAGCATGGAGAGTTGAGCTCGGAATGCATTGCTCTCGAGAATTGCCCCAAGCTCGCTAGCAAAGCGCCGGAGGTCCGGGTTACCCTGGATGCTCTGAAGAAGTTTGTGGAGGATCTTCGAAAGATCCAGGTCCTGCTGGGTCGCAAGCTTCCCACGATGGACGAGGCAGCCTGCAAGAACGAGAAAGCCGACATGGAGCAGTGGAATCGCAATGCCAATGAGCATCTTGACAATGTGAAGTTGTTGCTGAAGAAGGTTAAGGGCTGGCAGGCCTAGGATCCATCGAGCATGGATCTGGATATCATGCAAGCAGCATTTTGCTGCAGTTTTGCCAAAGCAGCTTTGAGGCGATCCACGGCAGGCGAACTTTAAAAAAACAGTGCTTTGCAGCCGCGAATAGCATGCACTGCATAGTGTTTTTCAAGCTTTTGCTGACTGTTTTCTGCTTGCAGCCAAGGTCGATCTTCTCGAGCTGCAGACAGGGCCCTTTGCATGCAAAAGGGCGAGTGCAGCAGCAGCTCGCAGACTTCAGCCGACAACTGTGCTAGCTTGCTGTGCAGGGTATAGGTGCTCAAGTTTCTGAAGTTTGTTTCACTTCTGGAGCTGCATGTGAAGCCATGTACTCCAAGAACAGTCGTGGTTACAATGAGGAAGACGTGCCTGAGAAGAAAAGGTTTCGGGCCAATCTTTCGGATGCTTTTTTGCCTGGACAGATCACAGCTGCCAGGACAGCTTCCCTTTTCAAGGATGCTCAATCTTCTGGTGCCAGTGGTGTGGACGACTTGGCCGCTGTACAAGACAAGAATGCAGCCAGAAGCCTAAGAAGGAAAATGTTGAAGGGGTCCCACTGGCCAGACTGCTACTATGCCGACATAGAGCTGCATGATCCCAAGCTGCAGGAGAACCACCAGGTCTCCTTGCCGTTTTTGCTTCCCCATGAAATTCTGGGGAAGCTTTTTGAATTTGGTGACTCAGCCTGGATCCTGAGCCAGGATGTGCTGCAAGAGGATGCTGAGCTGATTGAGAAGTTTTCTTTGTCGTGCCAGCCAGCGAGAGATCCAGCGACAATTCTGCCACTGGGGCTCTGGAATGAAGGGGTGCCTTGCAATTGGGACAGGTCCCAAAGCTTGGAAGTTATAGCTCTAAGTTTCCCATCCATTCCTGGCCTTCGAGTGCCGCTGTTCTGTCTGAAGAAGATGTTTGAAGCCAAGAAGTGTACCATGGATGCAGCCATGAAGGTTTTGGTGTGGAGTTTCGAGCAGCTGGCTCTTGGAAGGTATCCTTCTCGAAGGCATGATGGCAGCCCCTTCGATTTACGGGTCGACAAGGCACGTCTTCGTCTAGCTGGGTCAGATTTGCCAGTTGCATGTTTGACACAAATCAGGGGCGACTGGAAAATGTTCAAGGATACCCTTTCCCTGCCTGCACACAACGAAAACAATGGTTGCTGCTGGCTTTGTCCCATGACACCTGATAAAGTGCACGAGGTGGATTTGCAGGCCTCCTGGAGACATCAATATTTTGATCAGGAGGCCTTTATCATGAGGTGCTGGGAGGAGCACAGGTTCATGAGTGCTGTGTGGCAGTTTCCAAATTTTTGTCTCAAGGTCATCAGGTTGGATTGGCTGCATATTATGGATTTGGGTTGTGCTGCCGATGCTGCTGGGAATATTCTGTACCACCTGCAAAGCAAGATGCCCGGTTCCAATATTACCAAGCGAACTGGGGAGCTCTACAAAGAGATTTCGCAGGAGTACAAGAACCAGGGTGTCGCATCCGATCGACTGGCCACATTGACAGAGACCATGTATCGCAAGGAAGCTGGAAAAGCTCCAAGGCTCAAAGCCAAAGGTGCAGAAACCAGAAAGTTGATACCTATTTTGGATGCTGTGTGCCGAAAGTTTTTGGACAGCTCAGGGGATCTGGATTCGGCAGTTTTGGCTTGCATCTCTTTGCTTTTGGCATGCTATGCTGCTCTGGATGTCGAGCCCTACGACCCCAGCCTCATGGAGCGAGAGGTCAGAAGGTTTGCTTTGCAGTATGTGTCTTTGAGGGATCACTTTGGTGACAATATCGCCTGGCGAGTTAAACCGAAGCTTCACCTCCTCCTGCACCTTTCGCAGAGCCCTACATGTCCAAAGGACATCTGGTGCTATAGAGATGAAGATTTCGGAGGAGCTACTGCAGCCATGGTAAGTGCCAAAGGTGGCCACAACACTCCGGGAAACTCTTCCCAGCTTGTCCTGGACAAGTTCAAAGCCAGAAACACCCTGCCTGTGCTAGCTGCTTGAAAATGATCGAGCGAGTGATCGACTGCATGCTTTGATTGATAGGATTTAGGATAGGGTTAACGGCAATTTTCTGGAGCCTGCCTCCAGCAAAATCTGTCAAACTTGTTGTTTTAATTGAAAGCTGTCAGCCTTAATTAAGAGACGTACTTTTCATGTGTATTTAAAGCTGAAAGCTTTAAATTTTCATTAAAACAGCTTTTATAATGTTTAAATAAAGGTTATAAGCTTTAAAAAGAGTTTAAAGCTTTATATAAGCATGAGGTTTACGCCTGATAGGGAAACTTAAGCATGTCACCTTATTTAAAGCTTATTGGAGCTTCAGGGACCGCAGTAGCGGCTGCGTGCCCGATTTGCCTCCTTGCGCCTTCGTCGGAGCCTGAGGCTGCAGACACTGCTTTTCCGTGCTGCAATGCCTTTACGCATCTCGCCTGCCTTGTGCGATGCGCACACGCACATGGTACGTGCCCTAATTGCCGAGCTGCCATAGACTGACCATCTCCCGCGCGAGCCGGGAATCGCCGCGCGGTGCCAAGCGCTTGGCATCGATATGCTCCCCGCTGATGGCCCCGCGCCCGACACAACTGTCGCCGTTGTGCGCGACTACTCCGTGCGCACCTTCTCACGGGCGGATGCGGCCGAGCCGCGTGAACCCGCACTTATCCGGGCTACATGCTGCAATCGCCTCGCAGGGCCCGCGCTCGACTTCATTGAATTGCCCGACGCCCGCATGCACTGGGCCCCGCTTCCTCGCAGAGGAACGCATGGCATTGAGGCCTGGCACCCGCAATGGTTGTGCATGCGGTGCCACAACGAGCTGCCGTTCGAGAGCGTTCGCATCCCGAGTCCAACGGCCACGTGCCCTGTGTGTGTCACGCCCATGCTTTGGGAGGTGGACGTCGCAAGGCATCACGAACGGTGGGTCTGCAGCCGTTGCCCGTTTGCGCATGCAGCAAGGCCGTTCGCCCCAGCATGCCACGCACCCGACGTAGCCAACCAACAGCCCGCCAATCCCCCTGCACAGGGAGATGAGCACGGCGCTGCGCCAGCGCCAGCGCCTGCGCTGTTCCAGTACACAACTAGTGGTCCCCCGCCCCTACCCCTGCGCGAAGGCACCAACTCTGCATTGTACGTGCCTTTGCTACTTGACGCGGCAGGCCTGCTCACGGCACAGGCTGGGCACAGGCGCAGCTCGCCTGGCGCTCACGCGCTCCCATCAGCGAGTGGTGGCCTGCCGATGCCTGCCGCGGTCGAGGCGCTGCGGGCTCGCCCCTTCATCCCTGTCGACGAGCTCACACAAGCATTTGAGCACGTTGCTCTCGCTTTCGCGCCCCCGGTCCTGCAATCGCCCTCGGTTCAACGTTTCCGGGTCTGGGCCGGAGCACGAGCTGGTCAAGTCGCCTCCCTGTCCGATGTGTTGCGCGCAATAGCCGTTGCACCCGAGGGCCACTACGTCGCTGCGCCACTGCAAGAAGCGTTGCTTATACCCTGTTACTTGGCCCGCCGGCCGTCGCCACCCTCGCACGCCTCATTGAGACGCTTCGTGCCCGGCCTCCTGACGCACCTGACCCGCCCCCACAGATCCATCCCGGCGCTTCTGCCGACGCTGCTGCGCCTGCAGCCCTGCGCCAGCGGAGTGACGTGACGCCTCCCCCGCCCACAGCACCTACTTGGCGCGCAGACCCGCAAGTCGTGACAGAGCCTGCCGTCTGCCCTGCAGTGCCGAATCCGCAGGGGGCGTTGCCGGACCCGCTAGCCGGCTCTGCGCCGCCCGGTGTCGTGCACCCCGCAGAGCCTGCCCACGAGCACGGCGACCCCGACGCGGCGCGGGCTGCTAACACCGACACCAGCTTAGCCAGGCTCGCCGCTCAAGCAGCATCACGCTCCCGTGCTGGCGGCCGAGGCCGGCGTGGCGGACGCGGACGCGGGCGCGGACGCCGGCTGGTTGAAAACGAAGGTCCAGCTCCCGCGCCCGAAGCAGACGCTGCTGCGGACGGCCCTACCCTCAATCGCGAAGGCACTGCCGCGCAACGCCGAGTCGCCGCGGCAGAAGATGGCATGCGCCTTGGCTTAGCGGCCTTGGATGACGTTTGCCTCGAGGACATTTTCCGCTGCCGCACTCTCACCCTTCAAGCCGTCCCCGCCCGCTTACGCGGGGCCCTCCGTACGGCCATGCGGACAGGGCTCGAGCTAGTCTCTGAGCGAACATCACCGCAGCAGGAGCTCCGAGGCTGGAAACTTTTCCTTCTGGCTCCGCGCATGCTTCTCCACCGTGCCGCGGGCCAGACGCGCATCCCCCCTGCGGAACTGGCACTGCGGTGCGAGGCGTTTGCGCGTGGAGAGTGGTTGACTCTCCTTCATGCTGCTGCCCGCACTGCCGAAGCCCCACACCTCGCGGCAGCGCGCTCTGCCGCCCAGGACGTCGAAGCCAGAGCCCACCGCGCTGCAGCTTTGGTACACCTCGGGGAGTTGTCTGCTGCAGGGCGCGCCCTCACCGCAGAGCCCCTCGCCCCTGCCACCAACGCGACTCTCGCCGAGCTCCGGGATCCTATGCGGCGCCCGCCCGAACCGTACGGTCCCCTACCATGCGAGGTCACCAGCTATCAGCCCCCCGAGCCATGCCCGTTCCCGCTGCCTGCCTTCCTCGCCGGCCTGCGGAAAGCGAGGCGTGGAGCTGCGGCTGGCCCCTGAGGAGCCACCAACGAGCACCTTCGCATCCTCTTAGACGACGAGGTCGATAGCCAACTCCTGCACTGCGCCGCGCAGCGCCTTGCACAAGCCGATGTGCCCGCTGCGGCCCTGGCTGCACTCCGCGTCGGAAGAATCGTCGCTCTGCAGAAGCCGGATGGACGCGGCATCCGCGCCCTTGTGATAGGCGACGTCCTGCGGCGACTTGTAGGGCGGGTGCTCGCGCAAGCCTTCGCGCTGCGACTCGAGACGGCGTGCCTGCCGTACCAATACGGGCTCAGCACTCGTGCTGGCGCTGAGGCTTCGCCACGCGTCCTGAGGGCTGCAACTGAAGTCGACCCCCGTGCAACAATTCTGTCCGTCGACGCGGTTGGCGCCTATGATCACGTATCCCGGCAGGCAATGCTTGCAGCCCTGCATGCCCGCCCCCGTATGCTCGGCAGTTCTACGGTGACGCCAGCACCTACACATGGACTGATGGGCAAGGGGCTTCCCACAGCATCGTGCAAGCTGAGGGCGGAGAACAAGGAGATCCGCTGATGCCCGCCCTGTTCTCGCTTGCGCAGCACCCCGCGCTTGAAGAGGTACAGGGGCAGCTGCGAGACGGGGAGGCCATCTTTGCGTATCTCGACGACACATACATCGTCGCCACCCCCGAGCGCATCCACGAGCTGTACTTAGCATACCAGCGCGCGTTGTGGGCCCACGCGCGCATCGCGCTCAACAGTCGCAAAACGCGCGTTTGGAACGCGGCGGGCGAGGAGCCACCGGGCATTGCAGCGCTGCAGGGCGACGCTGACAATGCCGTGTGGGTCGGAGATTGGACGCTCCCGCCTACCCATCCGGGGCTCACTGTTCTCGGCACGCCTTTTGGCAGCGACGCCTACGTCCAGCAGCGCTTGGCCTTGAAACGAGAAGAGCACGACCGCCTCCTGCAGCGCATCCCGTCTGTTCAAGACTTACAGGCAGCCTGGCTACTATTGCACTACTGTGCAGTTCCATGGGCAAATTACCTTCTGCGTTCCCTGCCCCCAGCCGCGACAGCAGCCTATGCTTCCTCACATGACGCAGCCGTGAGCAGCTGCCTATCAGCGCTCTTGGGCCTTGCGGACGAACCGCTGCCCCCCCAACCAGCACGAGCAGCACGGCTCGCGCTGCGGTTTGGCGGACTCGGTCTGCGCGCAGCTGACGACGACCGTCACGCAGCCTACTGGGCTTCCTGGATGGACACCCTGCCGGTCATCCACGCCCGAGTCCCCTCAGCTGCGGAGCGCCTGCTCGCAGCCTTGCGCGACAACAGAGCTGCGCGGCTGCCTTCGCTCTTGGCTGCAGCCCAGGCAGCGGCTTACTTGACCACCCAGGGCTACGCAGTGCCGTCATGGGACGAGGCCATTTCCACTGTGCCAAGCCCGCAGTCCCGACACGACGAGCCTGCAGACCTCCTGCGCGGATGGCAGCGCAGAGCTTCCCACGCTTGCGATGAGCGCGCGCTCGAAACTCATTTTGCTGATTTGTCCCCTGCGTCCCGGGCGCTGCTGCTCTCTCAAGCTGGTCCTCACGCGGCCCGAGCCTTCACGGTATTGCCCACGTCGGATGATGTTGCAATACCCGACTCACACTTCCGCGTCCTGCTCTTACGCCGTGTGCGCCTGCCCCTCCCGTTCGGCCCGCGCAGCTGCTCCTGCCACGGCGTGCTTGATGCGTACGGAGACCATCGAGCTGCATGCTCCACATCAGGCGTGCTCGCCTCCCGCGCACTGCCCCTCGAACGGGCCATCGCCCGCGTCTGCCCAGAAGCCGGGGCGTGTGTCGGGCGCAACGTCGCGCTGGCCGCCATGAACATCGATGTGCCGGTCCATGACGCGAGGCGCATCGAGGTCGTCTGCAACGGCCTCCCGCTTTGGCACGGCGCACAACTTGCCGTTGACACGACGCTCGTCAGCCCAGTGACCCGAGATGGCCGCCCGCATGACGGCGCTGAACGCCACCCGGGTTGGGCCGTCCGCGGTGCTGCGCGGCGCAAACGCAGGCAGACGTACCCCGAGATCGACCGCAGCCGACGCTGTCGCCTCGTCGTTTTCGGACTCGAGGTGGGTGGACGTTGGGCTGAGGAAGCTGCCACCTTTGTTCGCCTCCTCGCCCGGGCGCGGGCCGCAGGTGCCCCCGCCGCGTTGCGCAGCACCGCCCAAGCCGCCTGGGTTCTCCGCTGGAGTGGACTCATCTCCGCTGCGGCGCAACGTGCGCTCGCTGCCACTTTCCTTGAGCTACCCCTTCAGTCGGAGCTTGGTGCTGCTGGCCCGCCACCAGCTTTGCACGAGCTTCTCGCAGACGCCCGTTGGCAGGAGGCTCCTGAGCCAAGCCGCCTCCCTGCCCGTGCGTGAGTCGCGAGTTGCTGCCGTAGGCTGCAGTGGGCACCGGGACCCGGACCTCTGTCACGTGCCGTAGCAAAAGGTGCGTGTAAAAAAAAAAAAAAAATCCCCTTCGTGCAAGCATGTCACCATGCAGCCAATTTCGGCTGTAAGGCTGGTATGCGCGGCTTTACGGGGGACTTGAAGGAGGCTTAAGAAAGCTGCTGCCCGCTCAAGAGGCCCGCCACGGGAGCGCAGCACCCCAGAGCGCGGGCATGCCGCAACATGGTCACCGAGAGCATCCAAGCCACGACGGCAGCGGCAAGCTGCAGGTGTGAGGGGCAGCGGCATACGCAGTCGCCGGAGAAGCAGCGCCCTAAAGAGGGGCGACGGCAGGCAGAGCTCCTGCGAAGTGGGGCGGTCTGTGAAGACACGCGCGCGTATGGGCCAGCTTGAAAATCAAGCATGGCAACGGATGCTGGGTCGAGCTCGCGTCGGAGGGCTCTGTCACCGAAGTCGTCAAGAGCACGAGATGGTGAACGCTGCCAACCACGAGTGGCGTCGACGCCTGGGTCATCATGCGTCATGCTGTGGGGGAGGAGTCTGGCGTGCGCGACAACTCCTGCCATGCGGGCAGTTCAAAACCTGCAGCGGACAAGGAGTGGCCGGCCAAGCGAATGGAATCCAGGGCAATTGGTAGCGAGTCGCTGCTCGCCAAGGATGCGCGCAGACGTTCAACGAAAGTGGGCTCACGGCGTGCAAAGAGTTGGAGGCAGTCTGCCCAAGAAGCCCAATACGCGGCTGACGCCTGACTCGTGCCGGACGGCACTGCGGAGACCCAAGCCGCCGTGCCGCAGCGCAAGCTGGGCCCGGCGGCGGCGGCGAGAGGTGGCAGAGAGTCACAGTCGGCACTTCATCAGCGTTGTGAAGCTAGGTTTTCGCAGTATTTGAGACAAGAAAATCATCTAATTCACATCAAGCCAGCCAGCGCCCGGGCAACCTCCTCCCCGCGCCGGGAAACAATTTTCCCGGCGCCAGGAGAACCTACACATTTTTCTTCGATAGTGCAATGAATGTGACTCGTACTGAAAGTCATTCAAAGTTTATCCTTGAGCAAGCAAACTTGTCAAGATAAAGTTGCCCGGCGTTGGGCGGTATTTTCAATCAGCGCCAAAACAAACATTTTCTAGCACCAAAAAATTGTGTGAAAACCAATTTTCCGACGCCGAAACATGTAACAAGTTTCGTCGGCGCCGGGATGTTCTTGCAAGAACCAAAAGCTTTTTCTGTTGAGTAAAAATATTAATGTGTTGGCAGGGTACGGCGACGGGCTAACCTTTCTCCGGCGCCGGGAACCAGCTTTCCCCGGCGCCGGGGGACAGCTATCCCCGGCGCCGGGAAAGAACATACCCCGGCGCCCGGCGCCGGAGAAAACTCTGCACACGTCAGCGCTGGGAATCTAAGTTTCGAACTATTTTATATGTGAATGCGCAGGCCGAATTGCTTGGCAGCGAACGCCTATATGCATTCTTAGATGATTCTGACGTGCGACCCCGAGCGCGTTCGCGCAGCACCGGTGTGGAATGCAGCGGGCGATGAGCCCCCTAGGCTCTCGGAATGGTTGCCGCCCGCCCGAGATGGCCGGCCAGTGTGGGTTGGGGACCCTGCACTCCCTCCGGACCAACGGGGCATCCACGTGCTTGGCACCCTCATTGGGCATGACACCTTCCAAAAAGCGGCACTGCTGGCCAAACAGTGCCAGCATGACTCGCTCCTGGACAAGCTGCCGGGCCTCCCAGACCTCCAGACAGCCCGGCTGCTTCTCCTCATGTGCGCAAACCCCTGCAGCAACTATTTGCTCCGGACCGATCATGGGCTGCCTAGGCGAACTCCTTGGAAGCGACGGGCCATTGCACTTCGACGATCAGGCACTGCAACGCGCCATGCTGCCGCTACGACTCGGCGGGCTGGGTCTCCGCTCGGCCGTGGCCGGCCGCTGCGCAGCTTATTGGGCTTCGTTGGCAGACACATTGCCCACGTTGCAAAACCGAGCTCCGGAGCTGGTGGCTGCTGCGTACCACCCCGCCGGGAGTGCCGGCGCGGTGCCTGCCACAAGCAGCGTTGCCGAGCTGCTGCAAGCAACCACACGCCTGAGCGAGGCGGGCTACGCAGCACCGGGATGGGGCGTGCTCTCGGCCGGCGGGGAACCACCGTGGGAGCCTGCTGAGCGCGACCGAGGCTGGTAGCGAGCTGCGGCTGCCTGTTTGTACATCTGCGTGCGCGAGCCTTTATTCTGACCTTCATCCGGCTTGACGCCTCCCCTTTTGTTGCGGCATCCTCTCCAGCCCCTGCCAGTCGCGCCTCGCACCTGCAGGTGCGGTGGTGTTTGGATCCGTAGGCGACCACCGAGCAGCCTGCCCCAAAGCCGGAGTGCTGGCGCTCGGGGTGCGCCGTTTGAGTGGGCAGCAGCGCGCTAGCCGCTAGCCTCCAATGTCCTGATTCGGGACATGAATCTGGATGCACCTGCCACGAACGCGCGCCGCATCGAGGTGCTGGCGAATGGCCTGCTGCTGTGGGCGGGAGCACAAGCCGCCGTCGACACCACTTTGGTTTCGCCGGTGACACGCGATGGCGCACCGCGTCCCGGTGCTGACCGCAAGGCTGGGAGCGCGGTCTCACCGGCGGCCACTCGGAAACGGCGGGACACGTACCGAGAACTGGACATTGCCGCTGGCTGGCGTCGATGCAGGCACTGGCGCCGAACCACGGGAGACCTCCTAGCGGACGCGCGCGGCAACCACGATGTGCCCAGCAGCCACCTGCCGGCCCCCACCGGTGAGCGCTGCTAGCCGCTGGCCAGATTAAAGCACAATGGGCAGACGGAAAAGTCCGCTGATGTCCGCTGGAAAAAAAGGAAGAATCACCCACATCAAATCAAACCAGCCGGCGCCCGGCTAACCTTTCCCCGACGCCGTGAAACAGCTTTCGCAGCGCCGGGACACAGCTTTCCCCGGCCCTGCGAAAACCTTCGCTGGTGGAACGAATGTTACTCGTATTCAAAACTGTCCTTAAAATCAAACAAACTTGCCGGCCGGCGCCGGGCTGACCGTTCCCCGGCGCCGGAAAGATGCAAAAGAAATCAAAAGAACACCTTCCCGGCGCCGGGGCACGACTTTTTTCGGCGCCGGGAAAGCCAGGAAAGTATTTGCATGACACCTATCAATTCATCGGCGCTGAAAAGTAGGTCTCCGCGCTGTTGAATATCAGAAATTTCCAGTTCAAATCTAACCGGCTGGCGCCGGGCTAACCCTTCCCAAACGCCGGCCTTGCTCCGGAACCCCGCTCCGGAACAATTTGCTCCGGAAACCCGGAACCTCTCCGGAGCTTTGCTCCGGAACCTCCGGAACCTCTTCGGAACCTTGGCTCCGGAACCTTGTCCGGAATCTGGCTCCGGTACCTCTCCATAACCTTGCTCCAGAACCTTTCCGCAACCTCTCCGGAACCTGTCCGGAACTTCGCTCTTGAACCTCTTTGGAACTTCGCTCCCGAACCTTGCTCGGGAACCTTGCTCATTGCTCCGGAACCTATCCGGAACCTCCAGAACCGGAACCTCACTCCAGAACCTCTCCAGAATCTTGCTCTGGAACCTCTCCGGCACTTCGCTCAGGAACCTGTGTGGGACCTGGCTCCGGAACCTCTCCGGAACCTTGCTCCGGAACCCTTCTGGAATCTCGTTCCGGAACCTCGCTCCGGAACCTCTTCAAAACTCTCTAAAGCTGTTGGTGAATTAGTGAAGGTCCAGTCGCAGAACGAAGTCCTTGAAGGACCTGAGGCGAGTGGCCGTGCACTTCAGCGGCCAGCAGCTATCAGTTGCGGCGGGGCAGGCTTTGAAGAACACATTCGTTTTCTGCAGCTGAGGAGCTTGCATGCCAGGGCACGTCATTGCGTGGGCCGTCGGCTCCAAAGTTTTGCCACTCGCATTGCGACGTGCTGCTTGGCATTTGCCGGATGTGCTGAGGAGCATTTGTGCCAGGGATAAACCCCCCCCCAGGAGAAGCTGTGCATATGGATACCGGAAAGCAAACGTTCCCGCCCCATCAACCTGGCAGCACGAAAGCCTACTGCCCAGTCGGTGGGCCTGGCAATTCTGTCTGCCCGGCGGTGCCTAGAGAGCACTAAAATGCTAGCCGGGTGGAGTTCATATTGGTCTCTGAGAGTGGAATGCCTATCAAACAAGTTGATTTATATAAATATTATATAAAAATATAATCAAAAAGAAATTAAGTCACAATAGAGGGCGAAATGCCTGCAAAACACAGCACCTCGGCACCACCGACCTCTGGAACCGAACGATGCCTGCTGAAGGTTCTACATAAAGAAAACAGTGCGGAAACATAGCAGACAGCAAAAAAGAAAGAAAGCAAGAGGACAATGAAGAAGGAACGAAATATGAAATGAAACAAATAGATAAAGAGAGATATGAAAATGTAGACAGACAGCAGAGAAAGAAAGATAGACAAACAGAAACAGCCAGAATGAAATGCATGCTAAGACGCAGAAGCAAGAGGATGAAGAAATGAGAAGGAAAGCAGCACAAAATAGTAAATCCAGAAAATCGCGAAGAGAAAAGAGCGAGCACGGCAAGATATAAAGAAAGACAGAAAGAAAGAGATGCAAACATAAAAGAATATATTGTGAACACCTCGTAGCGCAGCTATGGTAGAAATACACGAGCAGCAATAGTACTAGTGAAACAAAATATATCGTCGTACAAATAATAGTAATAATAACACTAATAGCAGCACGAACATTCATAAGAGCAACTCTGGTACGGTATTTTTGTTTGTGCATGCGGCCAACGTTTTCTGACAACTTGTGTTTGCCATATGCAGCAATTCGGCAGCGATACAACCTCCAGGGTGTGCAGGCTTCGGTTCTCAAGGTCAACGCAGCAGGTTCGTGAGCAACATGCGCAGGGTTTTTCGCATGCTGGAACTTGCGCCTTTTGACGGACGGAGTCAAGAAAACGATATGTCATCACCATGTTTGCAGCCTTGCAGCAAGGGAATGTTGTGCGGCTGTGCCCCCCCCAACCCGCCTGCATTTTCAAGTCCATTCACGCTTGCAATTAAAAGGAAGCATCATGTCGTCACCATGTTTGTATAAAGGAAGTTTGCGCGGATCATTTGGTTTGCACATGGGGGGGCAGCCCCCCGGTATTTTGAATCCATCCGTGTTTGCAAAAGAGGAAAGGGCATCATGTCATCACCATGTTTTCAATAAGCCAAAGTTGTGCGAATCGCCTTGTTTGCACATGGCAGGCTAAACTCCAAGCGAATCCGAGGATCCTGATCCAACAGCGCCCGTTGTTACGGGATCGTGCCCCCGAACCCTTTGAGGCTGTTGACCTTTGCTTAACCTTCAAGAGGGTCCGAAGATGGAAAACCGATGACACTTATGAGGATGGCGACCCCGAAGCCCACAAGCCTTGTAACTGTTGACTCCTTGCAAATTCCGACAGACTTTGAGGGTCCCTAAGCCACGACAGTGCGAGGATCGCGACCCCGACCCCAATGATCCCTGTGACTGTTGACACTTTGCAAACTCCGAAAGGCTCCAAGGGTCTAAGAGCGACGACAGTTTCAGGGATGGCGACTCCGACCGCACAATCTCTGTGACTGTGCACATTTGGCAGGTGGAGCATTTTCTGATTACAACTTTTGTTTATCATCTTTTTTTGATAGGTCACCCCCTGAGAGTCTTGGAGATGTCAATCCTTGGACCCCTAGGTCCAAAAGCTCAGCTCCGGCGCCTGCATCCAGAACATGCAATAGGATCCATGAAGACGGCAAAAGTTGAAATGTTTGTTCAGGCTGTGCTGTTTGGCCGCGGCCAGGGCACAGAATGCAAAACCGTTTGATTTGCCAGATTTTTGTGTTGTTGCGCACGTGCAAGCATGAGCACCGAAAGAGCCTTGTGCTGCATGGCAGATAGCCATGGCACTTGCATAGGAAGCAGTGCGATTAGTGATTAGAATGTGATTCGTATCCGGAGCATAATCAAGATGTGCGGCCGGCACATGTAGAATCAAGCGATTCAAACTTTTGTGTTGTCATGCAAGACGCTGTCGTGTGTGGCGATGGAAATCAAAGATCAAAGAAGTGTCTTATAGTTGATTGTGTTCGAAGAAGCAACGTTCGGTATTCTGTTCGAAAAACTATTTGATAGGATCCATGAAGACGGCAAAAATTGAAATGTTTGTTCAGGTTGTGCTGTTTGGCCGCGGCCAGGGCACAGAATGCAAAACCGTTTGATTTGCCAGATTTTTGTGTTGTTGCGCACGTGCAAGCATGAGCACCGAAAGAGCCTTGTGCTGCAGGGCAGATAGCCAGGGCACGTGCATAGCAAGCAGTGCGATTAGTGATTAGAATGTGATTGGTATCCGGAGCATAATCAAGATGTGCGGCCGGCACATGTAGAATCAAGCGATTCAAACTCTTGTGTTGTCATGCAAGACGCTGTCGTGTGTGGCGATGGAAATCAAAGATCAAAGAAGCGCCTTTGATGGTGTTCGAAAAAGCAAAGTTCGGTAAGCACAAATATATTTGATAGGATCCATGAAGACGGCAAAAATTGAAATGTTTGTTCAGGTTGTGCTGTTTGGCCGCGGCCAGGGCACAGAATGCAAAACCGTTTGATTTGCCAGATTTTTGTGTTGTTGCGCACGTGCAAGCATGAGCACCGAAAGAGCCTTGTGCTGCATGGCAGATAGCCAGGGCACGTGCATAGCAAGCAGTGCGATTAGTGATTAGAATGTGATTCGTATCCGGAGCATAATCAAGATGTGCGGCCGGCACATGTAGAATCAAGCGATTCAAACTTTTGTGTTGTCACGCAAGACGCTGTCGTGTGTGGCGACGGAAATCAAAGATCAAAGAAGTGTAGTTGATTGTGTTCGAAGAAGCAACGTTCGGTATTCTGTTCGAAAAAATATTTGATAGGATCCATGAAGACGGCAAAAATTGAAATGTTTGTTCAGGTTGTGCTGTTTGGCCGCGGCCAGGGCACAGAATGCAAAATCGTTTGATTTGCCCGATTTTTGTGTTGTTGCGCACGCGCAAGCATGAGCACCGAAAGAGCCTTGTGCTGCATGGCAGATAGCCAGGGCACGTGCATAGCAAGCAGTGCGATTAGTGATTAGAATGTGATTCGTATCCGGAGCATAATCAAGATGTACGGCCGGCAC